TCCATTTCTCTCTCACTCTCTCTCTCTCTCTCTCTCTCTCTCTCTCTCTCTCTCTCTCTCTCTCTCTGCAGTAGAAAGTGTAGTTGATGACTAGATTTCTTCTGTCTCTCTGAGCTGGGTTGGCATGAACGTGAGCTTTTCTCTACAGTGTTTACGAAGCAATCAGGTACACTTCTGGTGTTTATTTTCTAGTAAATTTCTATGGGGAATACGTCTCAAATCCTGCGAATGAAAGCTTTGACTCAACATATTGATTGTAATGTATCCATTTTCAAGTTCGGTACCGCGAAGTTGCACGAAAGCTTTAACTGGACATACAAATGGTATAATATCCTTATTCAAGTTTGGTACCACAAAGTTTGACGTGATGTACTGATTATATAATATTCATTTTTAAGTTCGGTACTGCGAAGTGTGAATGAATGTACTGATTGTATTTAATCAAGTTCAGTGCCGCGAAGTTGACCCAAAAAAGAAAGTGTGACTAAAATTGTGTAGTTACTGGATGCCCTAGTGTGGTTTGTCTTTGGTCTGTACCTAGTGCTCCAATTGTGTGTGCCACCTAGTAGTTTGTGGTGTCCTGAGGCACCAGTTGGAGGGCCTGGCTTGCTGGTCCCGCTGCTTTTCTCTTCCTCCATTAACTCTCTTTTCTGTTTCGTGGTCTTGACTTTTTTCCTGACTCTACATGATCATCACTGTGTTGGTGTGCTTCTGTTCAACCCAAAGCTTCAACTCACAACATGTCAAAATGAGTGTGGACGATGCTACTTATGGGGTTTTACCAGCAGACAACTTGACAGCAATGTAAAGTTTTTGGCACACGTACATGAATTGTGTCAAAAGTACTGTAAAACATATGCCCAAGCGAACTGTCATCACCGATAGACTTTGCCACTTCAATAACCAAATTGTGTTGATGATGCCACTGAGAGATTGTCACATGTGTTCATTGTTTCTCAAATGAAAACTTCATACGAAAAAAATATTTGGAGTTAAGATCTGTTATAAGAGATTTGTGTTATGGATCAGTGTGCTGAGGAATTTTCTATATGGGTGGACAAGGGATGACCCAACATTTGTTTGCTTGGAAGGTTGTAATGTAATAAATTGTTAATTTCACATGGGTGTTTTGTTTCTCTATCGAAAACCTATGGAATGAATTGGGAAATAACATTCCATTTGTTTGGAGACCTTTGTGTAATGGGTCAATAATGCTGAGGAATTTTTTTGGTATGGGTGAACCTGTCTTTCAGTGATGCTGCATGAAATACTCAGTATTTCTTTAATTCGAGCATTAATTTTTTGTGTCTGTGAGCTTAGTTTGAATGAGTCGTCTCAGTGTCTTTGCTTCAGTGCTGTGTTCTTTGCTTTGATACTGAAACATTCTGGTTGGATTCTAAGTCTTCATCATACATTTGAATGATTGTTTTGTTTTGGGTTTTATTGTGGGGCTGAAAGGGGGGGGGGGGCATATTTCACCCATGAAGGGTGAACTCTTGGGCATGCAAAGGCTAAGATGTTGAAGAAGGCATAAATCTCACTCAACCCCAAATCTAGAACACTTCTGCCCCTACCCCACTTCACCCTGAAAACACCCTCTAAAAAAACTGGGAACACATAAGTAAACTGCTGTGGGATTTGGTTATGGTTAGCGGGTATGTTTATGGATGGTTAGCTGGTTACTTTACTATCATAGCATGAGTTTTCGTCATGAAAATATCGTGACGTTTTTGTGCATCATGCTGTTATTTAGTTAAAAGAAAAATTTGCTAGTGGTGCAACAAAGTCGAAAAATCAGTGGGGCTCTGAATAATAGCAGATGCGAGGCAGGTAAGACTACAGGGTCTGCTGGCTTGATTATTGGTGAAATTTGTGGTGGCTTCGTCATCTTCTTTTTGTAATGTTTCAGTGTTTAGTATGAAGATGATGGCTGCAGTAATGAGCTCATTGGTTTACTGTTGACACTTTACACTTTTGTTTAACATGTATGTATATAATCATATGAAACAATTACCTGATTAAAATCAGACATTTATCACCCATGCACAGTGGCACTTCCTTAGCGGCAGTATCACAAACATGTACATATTTTTCTTCTTCTTTTTTTTTCTCCAATTGTCACATTTATTGGTTGCACTGTTTTATGAACTCCCTTGGAAAATCAGAACATATAGTCCTTGTATATTTATTTATTGCTCTGATTCTTGCATTTCATTACAGAATGGTTGTGTCTTAACTAACACAATTTGTATAGGTCTACTTAGCATTGTTGTTTTGAGTTAATGTTGAGATAGCAGTACCGTATGAACTTTTCAGACTCAATGCAAATAGTTTGTTTCAGTAAAACCTGTTCGGATGTACCCACTTCATTCAAATAACATTTTTTTTTTCTGAGGCAGTATGCTTCAGTAAAGCCAGTTGGTGTGTAATTTCTTCATTCATTTTTTCACAGGCACTTTAAAACTTATAATTTCTCTTACTTTCAATGATGGTTTGACAGTTTGTATCACGGTAAAGTTTGCAAGTTATGTACTTTCAATGATGGTTTGACAGTTTGTATCACAGTAAAGTTTGCAAGTTATGGTGACGTCTAAAGCTGTAGCAGTTGCAGCAACAGCCATTTACAGTTAGCTGGTAGCTAATTATGTAGTTCTTTTTTCATGATAAAGAAACAATGAAATGATTGTTAGAAAAGTTAGATCTATGTCTTCAATTCAAAGTAATGGCCTTTTGTGATAAAATTGTTTAAGTCAAAGAACAGGTTGCTCCTTATAGCAAATGTATACTTGATGGCTGGGTACAAAATTGAGGCAAACACCGCTGAATTGCATTAGCAATAATATCATTTGTCAGAGTCTTGCTTCCAGCATTTGATAAGGGAGTCTTTTTCTCCCTGTAATCTTAAGTCCGGCAATAAACCCTGTTCCAGATTTTCTACGTTTTCGCCTTTATATTCCGTACTGCCCTGAGAAGGGCATGACTCTTGATTCATGAAAGTGTGTTTCGTAACTTTTTGGGTATAATTGGTATATTTCAAAGTTGTCAACCCATTCGGCCCTGTCCTATAGAAAACAGATGTTGATTTGGAGGCTCCGCCTCATACGTGACCTATTAGTGTTGATAGGGACGTTAAACCCGTACACTTAACACTTATAGGGTTGTCTTCAATGAAGATGACTGTGCTCTGTAAGGTGCTATTGATGATTGCACGAGAGAGAAATTTTTGGAGGAGATTTTCATACTTTTGATCAAGTGCAGTTCCGGTCTGGGTGTTCTCGATGTGTGTCTTCCTATACATGACTAAGGGCAGTCGTAGGTTTATTAAATTTTCCCCACTCTTTTCTTTCTTTTAAAAAGATTAGCTTCTATCCATGTCCATGGTTTTATTGATTTTTTTTCTTCTTTTGTCTCCCCAGAAAATGGAAGTCCTCAAAGCAGACAATCAGAGATTGAAAGATGAGAATGGGGCTTTGATTCGTGTGATTAGCAAGCTGTCCAAGTAGCCTACCACAGGATGCAGAGAGATAGACTTTATTCCCTTCTCATACCCACTGTTTTACTTCTTTTTTATATAATTTTTTTTAAAAATTAAATTATTTTAATTTTTTTTTTTTTGTTGTTGTTTCTTTATTCTTTAAGGCTTTCATTTTCCCCTCACCTTCCCTCCTTCCCAAGACCGCTCTTTCGTTGCAATTGTCATTTTGTCATTTTGCTACGTTTATACTCCTCCCCACCCCCATTCAAGATAACTTGACAACTGCTCTCCTCCCTCCCCCTACCCCCCACTTCTCCCTCCAGCCTAGCCCACCCACCACATGCAATCAAGACTGTAATGTCGGAAACCCCTTTTTTCTGCTGACCTTTTCATATCAGTGCTTTTGTATTCTTGAGGTTCAGTTTTCTGTTTTGTTTTGCTACTGGATAAATTGTACATGATTTCCTGAGTGTGTGTTGTATTGGTCTTAGTAATGGAAAAAGTTGATGGAGCCGGCTGAAGTGCGTTCCAGTCACTTTGATGACCTTTGTAGATTTTAGCTCATCGCTTTGTGTGAAATAACCCAGTGGATGTTGAGGAGATCTTCACTTATACTTATAGGGCCCCCTTCAGAATGATTTTTCTTCCTTCTCAGCTACTGATTGTAGAATGTTCTTGTAGCAGGGGACGTACTTCCTAATTATGAGAGAAATACAACAGTCTCCATGATAGTCCCAAGGAAAAGATAAAAAGAGCTTTCGTTTCGAAATGATGGTAATTTGTTGGTTTGGTCATAACCTTTTGTGTCAGAACATTTTTACGATAAAAAAGCAACGACAGAAAATGGCTGACGTGTGAACAAAAAACTTTTTCGGACATGTTTGACGAAAAACAAAAAAGAAGGGGGGAAAAATGATGACGAATTTATACATTTGGGATAATGTCTGAATTTATCTTTAGGTGAAACATTTGAAGCGGGAAAACTTGTTTTCCTCAATGTTTTAAATGTATTTGCATTTCCACCTGTAGACTAGCAGGTCTTTCGGTGTTCTGTGAAAGTTCCCATACCCCGGATGTGTTGTCCTCTCCCTTGTAGCGGAAATCTTGTAATAAAAAAAACCCCTTTGTAATAGCAATTTGTTTGCCGCCACTAGTTACTGGTAAAGATAACAAGTATCGTGTATACGGTACCATGAGTTTTGTGACCTTTTTGTACCTGTGTGGTTGGATTGTATCTACTCTTCTAACATGTTCAACTCCTACTCAAATATCTTTACTGTCACGTTTTCTCTCTCTCTCTCCATTGTACATGCGATAGCAATGTTCTGAACCACTGGATAACAATACTCTTTTATTTGCTTATGCTGACAATTTCTTCTTTGACTGGCTGAAGGGCCATTGGACTCTTTAGCTCATTTTATGATTGTTAGAATTTTTGACATCCTATTGCTTCAAGGAGTAATGTCTGTTCTTTTTTTGTTAATGGTCTTATAGTTAAGATTTCCGTGGAACCCGCTGATAATGTTATAGTGCTTGTTTGCCGTTTACTAAAGTGTGGAAACCTCGAAGTCTTGTACTGGACTTGGTTTGGGTTAGTTGGAAGCCGGGCAGAGAGGAGCGTCTCCTCGCTTGTGCCTAGATACTAACGCCTAAGGGGGCATGCTGCTGCTGTTCACCCGGCATAGACAGGACAGAAGTTCAGTTCCTACATTGAGGAAGACATTTAATGAGAGCCTTTTCCTCTTACTGTTGGTAGGCAGAATCCAATAGTACCAGGTATAGGGGTGTAAAATATTTCTTTCAGTGGAAAAGTGTCGATTTACTGCCAATCTTAAAAAATAATGTAGGCAGTGATCAGGGAATATTCCACAACTACAGCGTCTTCTTTTGAAATGCTGAATAATTATCTAATGTAGATGTTTACAGTTTTGTGGAAGCATATATTACAGCTCCTGTAAAAAGAATTTCAACAAGGTTTTTTTTTCCTTCTCCGTGTTTCATGCATAGTCTGCTTTCACAAGAAGAGCGACTCTACATGCGTTGTTTTTTTTTCTCAGATCTAGCTACAAGGTAAAGGGGTAGGATGTCGGCCCAGCTGCTGGGAACTTGGCAATGAATTCTGCTCATGTCTGTGGGAACTTAAAGGAACATTGAAAGTGCTGTGTACTTTTGAAGCAGTTAGGCGAGCTGTGCCTCTGGGCTGGGCCAGCTCTTGACGGGTTTATACCGGACTCTTTTGTATCTTTTTCTTCCATTGCATGTGGAGGGAGCGAGTTGGCCACTGAATTGGAGGTTTATAGCTTCCCACTATTTTTTTTTTCTTTTCTGTATTTTTTAAATAATAAATCATCTCTAAACAAAACCTACCAATCCTTCTGTCTATTCTACAAATACCCATATGTTGTACTTGCAAGCACAGTTCATGTCCTCACTGTGAAATGTCTTCATATTTTTGTAATACAATGCCAGTTTACTCACACCCAGTACTTTGCCATTTATGGTTCTGATATTCCTCCACCCTCTTCCCTTTTGTCCCACCCCCCCCTCCCCCCATAGCGTCTGTGCTTGTGCTGTATACCATTTTAACATGTGGTAGAATCCCATACAATGATTTCGCTTAGGTGTGGAAAGCTTTGTTGTAGTTAGATATTAAATCTGTTGTAGTGCTTTACTAGGTTTAGTTGGTGAAAACTTACATGCTGGTACATACTCGTGTTCATATGGATGCAACAATTGAGGGGTGGGGAAAGATGGCTCATCACTCAGAAGACGTGAGTTCTATTCCCCCAGTGGGATAGATCATTTTGGGTTGTTGGGGGGTTTTTTTTCGAGTGCTCTCCATCTTTCTGCTGGGATGCGTCCCGCTCTGTCTAGGATGGACCTGACAGGCAGGAGTGAAGAAGCCAGCCTCCTAAATGATCTAAGTTGTCTCGAATGGAGGCGTAAAACATTGACACATTCACATGTGGAGTAAATGAGATGATTGCTGTGTAGGTTTGGTTTCATTGACCCTCGGGGTTTTTTCCATGCGTTTCGTGATCCCGCGTTGAGCATTGACTGGAGTGTAGAGCAGAGCATACAACAGATTCAGTATCTTGCTTCAACAAAGCTCTTCCAACCAACGCTTTCATCATCATGATCTCAAATGTGGACACAATTCTTTCAGCTCATGACTTTCATGTTCATCATGCCATTTATTATATATATATTTTTAAATATTTTTTTTTACGATGTACCTGTCATCATGTTGCTGTGTTCATATTACGTTGACAGTGTTGTCCTGTAGCATGAAAACCCTGGACGTATTTGGCTGTGTGCACAATGACTGATGAATCATAATGCATCGCCAAGTCTTTCTGCAGTATGATACCAAGCTGCGTGGAATTTTTTTTTTCAAACGTGTTGTACCTCAAATATTTGTACCGTTTTTGTCCTTCCCTTTAGTCTTTATTTTGTTTTCACCAGAACCTGTCTGTACTGTGAATTGTTTTAGGTATATTATCTCCCCTCGTTGGCCCTAAAATTATGTTGAACTGGTTTGAAAATTCCCAGATTCGACATTAGTTTGAGAAGTTCGTCTGAACCCATGGACTTACCTTTGATTTTGGTGGAATTAAGTTTGAAAATAGATCTGTGGGGTTTTTTGTTGTTTTTTGGGGGGTTTTTCTCTCTCCAAGCAAAGAGTGGACTCATATGACCATATGCCAGTGAGAGCACCATAAAACTTACCAGACTAAAACCTGAAGCAAGAAAGAGGCCTTAGAGGCCATTCCTGTTATAAATGAGAAGATAAAGAGCACATCCTTTGTGTTCGTCAGTGACTGGGGTGATGCAAGAGATTGTGTTGCCTCTATGACTTATGGTAAGGTTGGGTTTTTTTTTAAGTGTTTAGGATCGGGG